AATCCGTCGGGCCATTTTCATTCATAATCATATTTCTTGAAGATGTAGGTTTATGACACACGGTATATTGACACCATAATAACTATTTGAAAAAAATATTTCAGCATAATGTGAAATAACGAAACATAACTTGAAATCCAACCACCCTTAACATGAAGTTGCTATGTAGTTTTCTGAAAACGTACTGGCTATTTGTAAGTGGAGATGTATTGTTAATATTTATAAGTATTTGCAATGCAGATAGTATTGGCTTGCTGACTTGCAATATGACTCGGAGTGGATGGGGAGGGAGATCGGAGGTATTGTGTTGAGATTGCCTGAATTGTGTGCTATAATACGTAGGATTTGAGAGGTCACGACACAAGCATTAGTTTAGTTTGAGAGATTAACAGGGTATTGCTCAGTACCTACGGTTAGCACGAAAAACTTTCGAGTTCGAATCGTTTGCATATTCGAATCGCCATCAAAAGATTTAGTACGTAAGTACGTGTCGTAAAGTGAACTTAGTATTGAGAAGTGGTTGCACGAAACTTATTTTGAGAATCAAAATTGTCACGTTATCGTTTAATTCGAAGGTTGAGTTAAAGTCGAATACGCAAACGATTCGAAGACGAAAGTTGTTCATGCTAGAGGTATAGTTCTTTGTTGTTCTATTCCGCTAGGTATAATTAACTTTATGGTTAGAAATGAAAAAAAAAATATTTTGTGGTCATTTTGTAGCTGTCTAGTAGTGGACGTCATTTGACTGAAATGAACGAACGGATTACACATCAATTTCTCACGCATCCCTTTTAATGTAAAAGGCGATGTCATCAAAACGTTGGGAACCTATGCCTCAGCGTTTTGCGTCCAACGAATCGTCAACAAAATTTAAAGCATGCCAAATATTTGCCGATTCGAACAATCTAACACGCAAAACGTTCTAACGACGCTACGCGTGTACCTTTCCACTCCAGAATCAAAGGATAAGTGGGTAGCTTTTGGAATTCCACAGAGCTCTTCGCGAAATACGATTCTTGATACTTGAGATTTGAGATTTACTACTGAATTATTAACTTGTGCGAAAAACCGACGTTGAATTTGCGGACTTTCGTAGTTCTTTAGTGTATTCTAGACGAAAATCGGATTTTATTAGTAAGTTTTTAAGTAACATAGGATCGTCAACTGTTACGTACAGAGGGCTTAGTGTGAGTTTACATCAAACGCGCTCACTAGTGAGCGCGTAAAAAATGACATTAAATGTATGACGGATTGTACAGCGCCCCTAGCGGAAACGTTCAAGAACTAAAATTTTCATATTTTTTTTGACGCGCTCACTAGTGAGGACGTTTGATATAAACTCACACTCAGGCCTCAGCCCACGTAAGGCAAACTATATTATGACGTATACAAACACTATGGTATACTGCGTCAGCTATGGGAGCTTAGCTTAACTAACTTGGCTTTTCTTGGTCTGCAAACTGCATTTAGTTTTACATAGAGTTTTTTTAATCAAACCAAGGTCAAGATGCCCTAGTAGAAAACCAAATGCCTTTATGGTTAAGACCTCCAATTCAAAGAAACAAAATAAGTGATAGGCCACAGAATTGTCAAACTAATGCCCGTTTTCACCATCAATCCCTAATTTTTAAGTGACCGCTATGGTAACACATAACAGGAATTTTGTTATCATAGGGGTCACTTAAAAATTAGGGATTAGTGAAAACGGGCATTAGACTTGTGGCGTTGGGCGGAGCACATAGCTCGTTCTGCCGTTTTACTAACCGCGAATTTTTCAGAGACGTCCAAGGACAAAAGACATAGGCCTCCCAATCGATGGGCCAATGATCAGTACCTCTAGTAGGAAAAACTTTCGAGTTCGTTTCGTTGCGTATTCAAAGTGTCATCGAAAAATTTTGTATGAAAAATTAAACAGCGCCCCCTATATTATAGCCGCCCTAGGGGGCGCTGTTTAATTTTTCATACAAAATTTTTCGATGACACTTTGAATACGCAACGAAACGAACTCGAAAGTTTTTCCTACTAGAGGTACTGGTGAAGGTCGCGGTAAGCACCTAAATGCGAACAGCGGCAGACTGGGCGTTGTGGAAATCCTTAGGGGAGGCCTTTGTCCTACAGTGGACGTCTTTTCTATTAGATATTGTAATTGAAACCAACACAGGGGAAGACTTTACATAGGTCTTATTCTGGATTGGGATTCCTAAAAATTGGAAGCAGCTAACAATATTAAAATATCCATGGTTAAGGCAACGTATCCAATTCAAATCTGACCCTTGAGTTGATGCTCGGTTCTCAGAAAATGAGATTTGATATCGAAGTTATTGTTTTGAGCAAACAATCTAAACGCAAAGGCCTAGTGGTTGAAATAATATAATTTAACGCATGCTTTATTACAATTATATCTAGTATCAAAGGATTAGATGGGAGCTTTTGTAATTCCACAGCTTCCATAGTTTAAGTTTATTCAGAAGGCTCACTCTCTTCGAATAAAAGATAGAAGAAGTAGAAAAAAAGGTAAACCATTTATCCCTATCACCTCTACATAGTTTTTCCAGCTTAGTTAGTAATTCAAAGAGTATAGGCCGTATACTTTCCCTAGACTGATTTAAGCATTATGCCGTCGTAAATTATAGCTAATCAGTTAAACAACGGACTACTCGTCTTGTCCTCAGTGCATTCCGTTTGCTAGACATGTGCAGCCAAAAACAGAATATAACTTGACTGGTACTAGTGTCTACTCGTAGTCGTAGTGCTAGTCTGGAATGAATTTAGGGGTAATTTGGAAATATAAAAGCCATAGCTACACCAAAGAGTAATAGTAGCTACATATAATCTAACAAGTTGGAGAAGTACCTACCTAACATTTAGGCAGTAGCAGAATATTGAGCTCTTTCTCCATCACAATAAAATCGAACTTGCTCAATCACTCTCCATTATACCCTCGCCTCTAACCCGAAACGAACGGTCTTGATACTTGAGATTTATGACTCAGCCCGATTATGCTGCTATTGTGTTGTATTGTTTTGGTCTACTGAAGGTCAAAGGGCTGGTTAATCTTGTGTACTATTTCGGCGACGAATTTAGTACAATACACTGGCTTTGGTTCGTTCAATATGACGTAAAAATTAATGGAATGGGCTTGAGGGCGAAATTGTTTTTTGTTTGGTATTGGGACAGTTTTAGTGATGTGTTTTTGATACGGGAACAGGTTATAAGCAAGCTGAAAGTCCTATTTACTCGTACAAGAAATTGGTTTGGTGGTGAAGCTTAAATGTGGCTTGAGATACATAACCTTGCTTCGAAAATATTTACTTCGTTCTAATGGTTTATTGATATAGTTATTTTCCAAAGTCTTTCTTTTGATGATATTGGTTGTATATCATTCTGTCTGACTAATTGTTTCTTATGAAAACACTTCTTAATCACTTCAAAAGTTATAATAATTATGTCACCAACAATAGATAAGATGAATTAGTTCTGTAATAGCACTAGACAATTGACATTCACTTCATCAAATATAGTTGTATGATAGGCAGACAATCAAAATACGAATCTAGAGAATCCAGGGTTCACAAAATATTTAACGGCCGTATTCACAAACATTACTATGAGGTCTCACAGTGTACGTCCAAACGAACCAATCATAGAGCTCTATTCAACGCTGTGCGTTTGATTTGCTGATTCACGCAAGCTTTGTGAATACGGGCGTAAGTTTCACAGTCCCATGAAACATAATTTGCAATTGAATTTACGTTGAAAAGGTAACTAACCTAAATGTAATCAAGAAGATACTAAAAATAAAAAGATGGTTTCAATACAAAACTTGAATGCTCCCGCGAGAACGTACCAGGAAACCGAAACAAATTCAATCAGAACTTATATAAATAGAAACACAATTTCTGATGTTATGTTTTTCCGTGCGAAACCGACAGATGTGGTTGGTTGAAAAACAATACTTCAATTATTGGTGTTTTTATTGAATGTATTTCCCAATTTTTATGCTAATTCGTTATGGATATTGCAGCAATAAAAAGAAGGTAACGTTACAGGGTAAATATGTATGGTTAACAGAGTTTCATATTGATGATAGGGTTTTTTGAAACTATTGGACAAGTCATTAATAGGGTTTCTAATGAATGGGTTATGAGTAACAGCTGATTGTCGCGGAAGTCTAAGGCTACGGCCGGATACTCGCGACACCCCCACTCGGGCGATGACAGAACGCCGCGGAGGTTTTAGTGGGTATACCCCGTCCTTTTCAGGACGGATCAGCGCCCTTTTCAGGGCGCCGGGAGGCCCACACACCACACTGTCTCCCGACAGTGGTGACGGTGCGCAAAGCATTGCCCCCGCGACAAAAAAAAATGGGTGACAGCTGACATCACTGGTAAACTTTAATAGATTGTATTATAGAAGACGGGCATTCGTTCAAATTTAATTTCATTTATGATTAATTGATAAATTCAATTTTTATCACCATCCTCAGGTAATTCAGTCTCTACTGCAGGAGCATGACATGACGTTCTCTAATTTACCAAATACAAAAGAAGAATTTGGCCAACACTTCCCACGCTGGTCAAAGTTCTCTTACACTATCCTCTTTGATAATTTCATCGGTTAGACCAAAAAGTTCCTAAATTATATTCTAGATCATAGATTTATACTAGCTTTCCGCCCGCGGCTTCATCATCATCATCATCATGTCAGCCATAGAACGTCCACTGCTGAACATAGGCCTCCCCTAATGCTTTCCACATTGATCGATTGGTAGCGGCTTCACCCGCGTGGAATTTTGTCTGTCACAGAAAAAGTTTATCGCGCGCGTCCCTGTTTCAAAAACCTGGATAAAGACTATCCTATGTCCTTTGCCGGGACTCAAGCTATCTCTATGCCAAATTTCATCAAAATCGGTTTAGTGGTTTAGGCGTGAAAATGAGACAGACAGACAGAGTTACTTTCGCATTTATAATATTAGTATAGGTAGTATAGATTAAAGACACTCAACTTCTGTAATAAGGGCCTATGAGTCGCTTTTGGATCTGGATAAAAAGGATGAACACGATATTGTGCCAAGTGGCAGTGGGCGGGGCACATAGCTCGTAGAGACGATCACCATCTCACCGTTGTAAAATTATAGAACAGCATGGGAGAAATGAGAAGCATTCCGTATACAACATTTTATAGACTGTTTTTCTATTGTTTTTATGTAGGTAAGAGTAGTAAGGGCTTGCTCTTGACACGGTAATACTATTACCGTGCTCTTGATAATAATCATACCCAGAGGGTGCAGGTGCAATCTATGATGGAGCAAGCTTTTCCAGAAGGTGCCTTTCACTAGCCACTACTACACACTAGCCTTGAAGGTGTTATAGCCCTCATAAATGTGTAACCATCTATACTTATATTATAAAGCTGAAGAGTTTGTTTGTCATCATCATCTCAGCCATAGGATGTCCACTGCTGAACATAGGCCTCTCCCAATGCTTTCCATGTTACCCGGTTGGTAGCGGCCTGCGTCCAGCGCTTTTCTGCCACCTTTATGATGTCGTCGTTTGTTTACTTGAACACGCTAATTTTATCAGGAACCCATAGTATAGCCCATTTATCGAGGAAGGCTTAAGGCTATATAACATCACCCTACGGCCAATAGGGACGGAGCAATAAAGAAAAATGTTGCAACAACGGGAAATACCAAACTATTTTCACCCGTATGAAGTCTCGGGCACAGCTAGTTAGAAGTAATCATCAAAGCCTTGAAGGTCTTATAGCCCTTAAATGTTTAACCATTAGAAAATAATCATCAAAAACTAACTTACCGTCTTCTCCCCCAAATCATGGACCCTGCAGTGCAAATGCACTCGGCTGCCCAGCTGCGCCGTCACGTTGTTAGTTGAAGCGTCATCCTCGAAGAACGGCAGAGGTTCTGAAGTGGTGGTGGATATATCCTCCTCGTGCTCCTCATACGTCTCCGTGAAGACTTCGTGCCAGAACGGGCCTGAGATCACCTTCTTGTCACCGGTCTTGAAGTCCACTGGAAGAAATGGATATGTCAGTTTTTATTGGTAAAAGATTGTTTTGCTATTAACATTTTAACTATACCAGAGGCGAATATTAGACTCTTAGGCTGAGTTGCACCACCTAACTTTAACGGTAACTATGACGATAACCGGTGTTTTTTGTATGGAGTTTGACAGATTTTTGATGTTTGTCAAAGTTAAAGTAAGATGGTGCAACCCACCCTTAATATACGGTTCACTGACAAAAACCTGTCGAAAATTTGTAAAAGGAAGTCGAACCTTAACTACAAACTCCTCCTACTTATGTTCTTCTTAAATTTTCCAATGAAAATTAAACTTTTATTCACTGGTTGAGTTTTTATTGGTGGTCAAGCTGTAGATCCTACACAGGAGTTGCAGCGGTGGGAACGAAAGGTGGGAATAGTCCCGTCCCCTATGCCATATTTTTATAATTTCGCAGTCTGTTCTGCTAAACCTTGATTGACTGGTCAAAGGGAATATACCTACTTTAGGGGATTTACAAATAAAATGTCTTTATCTGTAATTATACCTTTATTTAACCAGTTAAGTTCCCAAAGCTCGGAGCCAATATCTCAAAGCTAAGTCAATATTCGAGTAGTTTATAGTTAGTGTATGTTCAGCAAACATACCTGGAGGTTGTTTGAATATGAAATCCTCTCTAAACCAGGTAAATCAAGATGCATTGGTATCATGCTGTATACGTCTTGGAATGTCTTGGAATGACTTGGACAAACACGTAACAATCACGTCAGAAATACAAATGCCACAAGACTTTAGCGAATTTACCGATTTCTCGTATCTGACTACGAAACGAAAAAAATTATTGCAATCAAAACATAACGTGAAAAAGTTACAAAATAAAATTTCAAATCAACTAATTGTACCTTGTGTGTTCCATTTCTTCTGTTATGTTATTTGTTTGGTGTGCAATAAAGTGTATTTATTATTATTATTATCAACTACGAAAAATTTTTTGTTAATTCGTAATCATGTACACCACTAAAATTTGCAAGGACAATAGAGGATTGGAGTGGAGAACAGTGGATAAAGGAGATATGATAGAGGCAATATGAGAGAGGAGAGTAAAGGAGCGAGGGGAGACAAGGGAGGAGAGGAGACAGGAGATAGGGAAAAGAAGAGAGAAAAAGACAGGAGAGAGGAAAGAGGAAAGAAAAGCGGTGAAAGGAAAGAGGGGGGAGAAAAAAGGGAAGAGGCGAAAAGGCAGAGGGCAGAAGAGAGAAGTAAATTTAGAGTACCATATCTTCAATATTCACCTGGTATTTGCGGGGCTATGACACATAGCGTCCTGGTCAGCAAAGAGCAGAACACCAAGAGGGCAGCCGGCGTCATCCTGTCAACCCCAGGACTGGGGGGCCATAGAGTTCACCTGTCCAGTCGTCTTTGATTCTGTAACAAGAATATGACCCTTAATACTATAGAAGTAAAAGCGTGCACATAGTACGCAGAACTGACGGGGCAAGGTTCTAGAGTGGAGGCCACGTGCCGCGTGGGACATCCACTCACAAGGTACCAACCTCATAAAGGTAGCAGGAAGGCGCTGGATGCAGACCGCTACCAACCGTGCGACGTGGAAGTTATTGGGGGAGGCCTATGTTCAGCAGTGGAAGTCCTGTGGCTGAAAATGATGATGATGATGAAAAGCGTGTTTGTAATGACAGCCACAGACACCTATCCAGTAACCTTCAATAGAGTTTTGTGCATCTTCACTAACATCTTGACACAAAATATCTATGACCGGCACAGAATGGACATTAGTCTTCACTGTAGGAGGATGACCCTTTCGAATTTACCAGAGGTAAAAGGAAGGATTTGACCTACACCCCCTAGGTACGCTGACCAGATGGGTTGGGAAGACTTGATGTTCTCAAATTTTCCCTTATTCGTCTTTTACGGACGGGGGTGGTCCTATTCTATTCTGCCAGTATCACGCGGTTTTGCAATTTAATACTTTTTAAAGGAATATAGGGGAAAGTAGTACGAGTTGTTCCCCTGGGGTAAGATGATTCTTTGCGATTGTGCTGAAACCACTAACGTCATTTAGTTTCTTTCACTGGTAAAACATAGCCCTGGACACCTCCCCACCTCAGTCAAATCGTATTGGTGGCGTGAGCGATACATCGATTTTGACGAGAAAAAATAAAAATAGTGTACTTCTGATCTAAAATAGGCATGACTTTGACCTAATGTTACTTTTATTCAAACAATGCTTATGTAATTACTGCCTAGTATGTTTAATTTTAATATTTTGGCCATACGAATATAGCCGCGTACTTGTAGATTATGGTAGAAAACATTGACCAAAAAGTGGGACTTGGGTCAAGACGATCCCTTTCTACATGTACGAGATGATCCCTGGGGATCAAAACAAAAAAGGCAATGGAGTAGGTAAAGGGAAGCGAAATTAAAGAATTAAGAGAACTTTATATAACTCATCTGAGTTTGTAGAAGATGATACTGAGTGTTTGAGACATATAAATTATTTTTATACTACTATCTACTAGCTACCAGGTTCGACTTCAATTTGCTTGATAGCTAGCAATTTAAAAACTAAGTTAAATTACTTAACTCCAAGTCGGGTAGTTAAATTCTTGTTTAATAGTCTTCTGTAATTATTAATCCTGACATAAATTTTACGCATTCGTCGTAACAAAGTGGGACTAAACTTTGTTACTTAGTTTTATAAGGCACTTATAAAACAACATAACCCTAAATAGGGATGTGACAAGTATCGATTTATGAATCGATTGTTTCTTTTAAGTAATTATTATCACACAGACAGAGATAAGGAAGGAAAGAGAATGGAAGAGAAATACATGATCTTGATAGATTTTATTTATCCAATTTAGTTTAGATTAAGAGTAGGCGCACACCGTTGATTTTTCGTCGGCCGATAGTTTAGTCGGGCAGTTGATCAGTATGGGCATGTATGGGAGTGCGCACACTACGCCGATTCAATTTGGCCGGGAACATCTATCGGCCAACTAAAAATCAACGGTGTGCGCCTACTCTAAGTAATTATAATAATTTATCATTTGTTAAGAAAATTTAAATACAAAAGTTCTTTACATAATTATTTAAGTTTCATTCATTTAAAAAGTAATTGAAACGTGACGTTTTGATATCAATTTATTTATTATTAAGAAACACAGCAGCCATTTTACAATTTTACATGATTGAAAACATTAAATAAGAGATCCAATTACAGTTTCATGACTGCTACAAATATTCAATATCAATTTATTCACTGAAACGCGAGGTGGTTAAGAATTTTAGTCGAATAAAAATGCCGGTGCGGACGTGTTAAATAAAAAGGTGTCACTGATACAATTTTATTAAGTTTTATAATTTAAGATCGAGAAGAAATAACGCTCCATATTTGGAAGTAGCTTTCCGCCCGCGGCTTCGCCCGCGTGAAATTTTGTCTGTCACAGATAAACTTTATCGCGCGCGTCCCTGTTTCAAAAACCGGGATAAAAACTATCCTATGTCCTTTCCCGGGACTCAAATTATCTCTATGCCAAATTTCATCAAAATCAGTTCAATGGTTTAGGCGTGAAAGCGAGACAGACAGACTGACAGACAGAATTACTTTCGCATTTATAATATTATTATAGATAGTTTAGAATTCGGAGCGTTATAACTTCTCGATCACATAGGCCTTACGTGAAATCGACGTTTCCCATAGTGAAATATCCCATCTCTAACCCGAACTGAACCTGATCCCACTTAATATCTCAAGACCCGAATTATCTACGATCTAAAATTAAAGATAGAACTTTATTGTCCGTATTCATGGCAGAAAATAAATCACCCAGACAAAGATTTAGGACTATCGAAATTTTACGCACATCGTGATAGTGTAAAAGAACACTTATTTCCAACAGCTTAGGTTTAGGTTGGGTTAATACATCGTTAAAGTTTATCGATATTATACTAAGAATTTATTTTGGAGAATATTAAATTCTTTCACTCTAATATTGTATGCAAAAATTGCTATTAACTTCAAAGAATAATCTATTATTAGGAACTGCGCATTACTTTTATCTAATACTTACTACCCCGGCGAACTTCGTACCGCATAGGTATGTTCATCAGAAATAAATGAAATAATGTAGGATTTTAATAGTGAAAGAAATTTTAAAATCAGCTCAGATGTTTCGGAGCCTATTCAATACAAACAAACAAACCTTTCGTCTTTGTAATTTTAGTGTAGATAAACCTTTTTGTGTATTATGTTGTCGTATATTTTCTACTCAATTCTATATTTCAAAAATTCCAGATTAAGATGATGATTTTACCTTATAAAAAAGGTAGTATAAATAAAAATTCAAACCTGTAAAAAAATTGCAAAATCTTATTGACTTCCCTTGAAGTTTCCCAATCATACCCTTGGAAGATGTAAACAAATTACTAAAGCGAACTTACGAAAGACGGATAGAGTCCGACTGGTCCCAGAACTTCGACTAGTGATGTTAAAGTATCGACAATATTATCGATAGTGAGGTACACGTGCACTAAAGTTTAACCTTATATTACCATTTCACCGAATTGTTTGAGTGATACAACCGTTCATAGAATGATCTGTTGACATAAACATTTATCCGTCGAAATCACGTTTCGCCGAAACCTCTGTTCATAGAACGCTCCAACGAAGTTCTTGTACTTATCAAAACAATTAGCGAAACCATTTTCTCTTTAGAAAAACAGCTGTATTTTGTGTAACTTTTCTTAAATATTCTAGACTTTTTTTCTTGATGTTGTAATCTTTACAGGCCTATGTTCAGCAGTGGACGTCCTGTGGCTGAAATGATGATGATGATGAATCTTGAAATAGGCTATAAATTTTGTAACGAGCTAGAAAGTTAGTTATTTTACAGATATTTTTAAAATTTATCAATAAAACATCGTCCAGTAAAGCACTATCCCATACACTAGTTGCATAGTTTTAACAGTGTCACCATTCAAGTAAAGATTATTCACTCATGTAACACATTTAATCTATCAATACAATAGTTTCTCGATATTTACAAGTAACATCACTATCTGACTCCATCGGGATTGCAAGTATTGGAACAGGATAAAATGCCCAGTTCGTGGAACAACCAAACTTGTAATGACTTCAAACGGAGTCTACCTATATCTAAGGATTAAGTTGTGATAATCCATTGTTCTGTTGTCGGATTGGGGGATTTAGCTGTTATTAGAAACTTGTTCGATTCACTTGAACCTAAGAAGTTCGACTTTCAGGTGAGACACTAATTGAAAATCGTTTTGAGAAATTGAGTATTTAGAAGAAACCATGAACAAAAATAATCCAAAATAACTTCTTCAAAAACACTTTTGTCTTACCCTGAAATCTAGTGAGGTTTTCGGTATAAGTAGCAATTGAGATCGCAAAATAGTGACATCCTCCCACTAAGGCTGGGTTGCACCATTTTACTTTGACTTTAACAATCGTCAAAAATCTTCCAAACTCCGTACAAAATACGCCGGTTATCGTTAAAATTACGGTCAAAGTTAGGGGGTGCAACTCAGCCTAAGACTCTCCCCAGACTACAGACTTTTAGTTAGCTGATAGTTGGGTCGGGCTGTCAATCACTAACAACATGCCTTGTATGCAAGTGCTCACGTTACGAGTAAACGGATTTGGTATCGGCCGATTTCTCACACAAATCAGAAGCTGACCATATTATTGGCCAACTAAAAATCTGTATTTATTGGGTGTACGAGTATAATGGTATAATTAAATTGGACAGAATCAGTAGAAGATTAAGAACTTTAAACAAGTCACCTTAATGATGAAAGCGATAACGTGGTAACTTCACTAGACATACTCCTAAGTGCTGTTTGATTTGATAGATCGAAAAAAGCTGATAATAAAGAAACTAAAATAAAGCATAAAGTTGCATAGCATAAAGTTCAAAATATGATAGCAACTAAACCAGAAGAAGGGTTAAAAATAAAACGCGCCTGCGTAAAGCGAATCCGAAAGATCAAAGGTGTCAAATGCACGTATATACGCCAGAAGATCTACGCTTACGTTATTACAAAGCTGAGGATTTCCCGAAAAGAGTTACAACATCTTTATGATAAAGTTGAGAATCAATTAAAAAAATCTGATGATAAAATTGGTGACCTTACTTGCTGTGACTAGGGCATGTAATATCGGAAGGTTTTCAATTCCGATATTGGATTCCGATATTAGATCTCAATATCGGAATTCCGATATTAATATCGGAATTGAGTTCAGTGCTACAAAATTAATATTTGGTTATATTCGTAAGAATTCTGGATTGTTTACAATAAAATAACGATTTTAATCAAAATCTTAAATTTGGTACAAAACAGCACTTCATAAAATTGAAGTATTTTAAAACCATTTTTAC